TCCTGCCTTCCTTTATTTTAAGGAAGGAGGATCTTTCTACTCTCCCATATTTTAGAAACGGTTTGATGTGAGGTTTGTACTGCTTTGAAGTGCTGCTTTATTCTTTCGTGTTGGATTTCTTCCCCTTCCCTCGTGTTTTAAAAAATCATTTCTAAACCTTTGAGCTACTTGGGACACTTCAAAAGGAAGGTTGTTGCTACGTTGAGGGGTGATAAAGAATAAAGCCAAGCACAGGGCCTTCCCAGTGGTGGCTCCTGCATTCTGTAGCTCTCTCGCCAAAGAAACTAGCTAGGCAAACTTTCAAAAGGCTGGCAAAGAGTTTTTCAGAAAAAGGGTCCTTTGGCGGAATGTCCTTCATTCTTCGCTTGAATGAATGCTGGAATATGTAGCACTGTGACAGGTTTATATTTATTTTAACTGCAGTTTCCTGGTTTCTAATTGTAATTCTGAGTAACCCTTGAAAATCTATTTTTAGTAGCCAAGGAACAATAATGCAGTAATGTGGCAAATTCTGTACCATAAAACAAACACACACAAATTCCTGTCTCTTGGCATGTCTGTTCCCTTTCTGCCCATCAGTTTCAACAGATCATTCTCATATTGATATAGTGCCTGTTTTAAAGACTACTGAATCACTTAACTAGCTAGGATGGTCTTTACTGCACTCAAAATAAGTAAGAAGGAACCTCCTTCTGGATTTCTTATTCAACTTTATTTGGCATTTCCATACAAGATGATTCTACAATCTCAGTGATTCCAACCTAGACAACTGGTGTTTTCTCACAGGTCTGCCATAAGCCGCAACATATACTGCTGATAGTTACGTTTTCCAATACCTTTCTGAAGAATGTGGAACACTGAAGTCTCTTGACTTTCCATAGCAATTCTTGGGTTGAGAAAGACATTTAGCTGTTTTCTTTTTATAAGAGTCCAGCCTAGTAAAAATTTATAATTAGAGAATTCCACGTTGCACAGTGGACCCTCGACTTACAGACTTTTCGAGTTACAGACTTCTCTGGCTGCAAAATTTAGATTCGACTTGCAGCCAGAGAATCGACTTACAGACCAGAAAAAAACCAAAATGGAATAAAAATAGAATAAAAACCACTGGTTATGGGATTAATCGGTTTTCAGTGCATTGTAGGTCAATGGAGATTCAATTTACAGACTTTTCGACTTGCAGCCATGATTCCAATATGGATTAATTCCTTAAGTAGAGGGTCCACTGTACTGAAACCTGGCATTGAATAAGGCTTGTTCCAAAAAACACTTCTGGGGTTCCACATTATCTCCATCCTAGAAGTATAATTTAGAGTTGTTCATATTGTCAAACTAGTCATAAGCAGAAATCCGTCCAGTTCCGAGATTACCTGTAGATAATTCTACCTTCTTTTTTTGTCTTTCTTAAAATGTCAGAATAGATTTAACCTGTTGAGAAACCCACTGCTAGGGCTATGTAACTTTCCTTGATTGCTTTTCTCTTTAAATATCCTGACCCTAAAAAGTTATGGTGAATTATTAAATAGTAAAGGTGTGCAGATTATGCTGTTAAACTGCAAGAGGCATAACCTTTGGACATGAATCGCCTCCAGTTAAGAAATCTGCGTAAGCATAGAATCAGTAGGCAACGAATCATGCCTATGGAACTTTCTTAACCTGAGTCAAAAGTTACACCTTTTATGGAATAGCCCAACAGGATTTCAGCCACTGAGTCTTTGTGCAGAGGAAACTAAATGTTCACCCTCTAACCTTCTGGATGACAGTTGTAAGGAAATTATTTTTTCATTATTTTAAAGAGTGGCGTTTCAAATGCTCAAAAGTTTGAATGATTCCAGTCTTAACTGTATCTCCAGGCCTTCCTCGGCCCTCTCTCCTTATTTGGGCAACATGTCTGTAGAAGTCCCCTGTTGCCCGCAGCAAAACTGCTGCCAGCTTGCACTGAGTCAGTCTCTCATTCCTGTTTGCTTTTCACTGTGGGCCTAAAGTATTCGATTTAATTGGGGTGGATTTAGAATATTGACCCATTAACCAGTCTTGCTCTCACTGGATCCTATGTATTTGCGACAGTGTTCAAATTAACGCTTCCATCAAATGTTACACTTTTTTTCCCCTTTGTTCTCGAATTTGTGACTGCTGGTTGAAAAGGAATGGCATGTTTTTTTGATCCACCGTTCCTGCTGTCAAGTGATCATCCTTTGGATTTATTTTTTTTCTTACTTCCTCCAGCCTCCCTGCTTTATACGATATTCCCCCAACCCAGGTGGCTTTAAAAATTAAAGGACTGTGGCCAAGTTGAGATGCAAGCATAGGCTGTGTTTGGTATTTCACACACAAGCCTCAGTGTCTGGCAGAGACCCGATTTTTCTTCTCTGGTTCAGAACAACAAAAAAAGAGGATCTGACACTGTCGTGTCCTGTTTTAAAAGAATTGAATGTTTCATTAGGGCATTAATATGATTAGTTTAAGTTAGGGATGGAGAACCTCAGGCTCTGGAGACTGAATCTTGGCATCCTTAGATGGCCACATCAGAGTTGGAAAAAAGGGTTAATCAAGTCTATTATTTCTCATCTTGGTATATTGCTATTAATAAGTATATATCTCTGGAGACAGGAACCCAGTTCAAGAAGCGCAAATGTTGATGATGCTGTCTGTTAGACTGTGTACTTGGGGAAAATATAACAATTAACCTAAATAATCTGTTCAGAAGCCTCATAAAATTGTCACCCCTGATCCAACAACCTCCACACTCTATTTGCAAAACTTTTTTAAAGGGTTACAGTATGTTAATACATTGTCTCACAATATAGAGACAATGTATAATGTGTTCCTAATGAGAGCTTTGATCTGTAACATATTTTGAGTTACAAATGTCAAAAAGCACTTTTACAATAAACATTTCTTAAAAACCCATTTTAAATGAAACCAAATCGCTTTTTTTTTAAATCATTTTTTCCCATCCACTCTGTTTTCCACCAAAAAGCAATCTCACCAATCCTCCGTCATTAGAAAAGGCAGCAAATGCATGCAATAAACGAATAGTAACAAATGGCAAATTTAATAGACTGTTGTCTGTCCAAAAATGCAGAAAAGAAGAAGGATAATGTATTTAGATTCTACTCAGTAAGAGGCCCCCAGTGACTCCAGCTGATATTTTGAAAAAGACACATGGAAAACTGTCTTGTAAGTCTATCAGCTTTGTTTCTATGGATGGTGGCTATGATGTTCTGAAGAAAAAGTGGCTGTTGATCCATAGAAATCTTTCCCACTTACAGAATATTCTCAAATGACTGCTCCATAATTTCTCTGTGAGTGTTAGGACTTGTTGAAGGATGCACACTAATCGCTTAATAACGGAAATGTTGAACGATACCAAGTACAAATAAGACAATTGCTGATGAAACACTGCTGTTCCATTCTGGAGGGATGACTATCAAAAGTCAGAAAAACTGAACTAAGGCTGAATTATTTTTCTGCATTCAATACTTTATGTATTACTTGTGCACCGATTTTTAGTTGACTATAGTTAGTGCCATAGATTAGGAAGTCACTGTTGCCAAAGACTTATTAGAATCAGTATTGTGGTGAAAATCTGAGAATCCAGTTTAGGGATTTATAGACTTTTCTCTCTCCCCCCCCCCGCCCCAGTCTCTGCCGTGTCCAGTATGATGATTCTATCATTCTTGGAGAATGTCTGTTAAACCAGTTTTAAGTCTGCAATGTGAAGTTGTCCTTTTGTGCTTGGAAACATTCAAGGTGTGTCATGTTGTTCATGCGTAGTGTTGTCGTGCACGGTGAATAAACCATCTTGATTGTGAAGAAAATCATCAACACATTGGGGGCAGTGAAAAATTTAATTCCTCTTACATAAATCCTTTTCTCTCTCTTATTTTTTTAAATCCACAGTGTTTGAACCTCTGCGCTTGGGAGATCCAGTGTCTGAGGAACACCAAGGGAGAGACCCGTCTCCCATCTGTGAACGGGCATCCAAGCTCCAAGGCCTGATGGAGTCTGAGAACTCAGTTGCCAACCAGTAGCAGGAGAACTGGGATGTTTATGTGGAAGTGTCTCATTCTTTGGGCTGTGCTGGTCACAGCCACGCTGTCTACCGCAAGACCAGCACAAACCCTGCCAGAGCAAGGTAGGGAGACCTCTGCTACTTTTTAATCCTATTGTGGGCTTCCATCTTCGTCTGAATTATAGTCCCACGTCCTTGATGAATTGAAAGAAGGATACTGGAATAAATGTGTCTTCTTTTATACTGTGCTTATGTACCGGTGTGTTATGGCTAGGTGTACGCTCAGGAAACAATAGAGGAAAATTCAAAGGACATACCTAACTCAATTTAAAAGCTTTGGGTTGCAAGACATGGGAGTTGAAAGATGGCTCTGTGTGTGTTCCTCTTCTTTGATTGCCCGGTGTGTGTAAAATGGGATTTGGGCCTGCCGCTTCGGACGCAGTACCAAATTCTGAAAGCAATTATATATGATAACACCATCGTCACTTTCATTTGCAGACTGTTGTCCGATGTACAAATGTGAATTGAATTTTTGCAAGGGGAGCTTGGATGTAGTAGGCAGATCATGAAGACTTTTTCAATGTATCTTGAGCCAAAGAAGATGGGTTGTGAATACATGGTTTTGATCGTTGGCCCCCTTGCCTAAGCATGCCCTTGAAATGGTCCCATCCTATCTGGATTGGCTTCATTGCTTTTCATTTAAAAAAGGAAGCCAGTTCAAGCAAGATGACCTACTGCGGGCTGGTGATATTTGGACATTGTAGTCATATGGTTGGGGTAGTAAACGCAGGTGGTTTTAGTCTCCTTGGTCAGAATGGTACCACATCAACTTAAAGCTTGACGTGGCATGCCTGTGGCCATGATGAGCAGCTAGAGCAAGAGCTTGAAATGAAGCAGATGGATGTTCCTCTCTTGTTGACCAGACAAGGACAGGCTTCTAAGGAGACAACGACTAAAGAAGGAGCTCCTTTCAAAAACTGGAAGG